GAGTTGTTTTGATTTGCATTTCCCTGATGGCTAGGGATGTTGAGCACTTTCTCAAGTGCCTCTCAGCCATTTCAGACTTCTCTAGTGAGAATTCTCTATTTAGTTCTATAGCCCACTTTTTAATTGGATCCTTTGGTGTTTTGGAGACTTGCTTCTTGAGTTCCTTGTAAATTTTGGAGATCAGCCCTCTGTCAGATGTGGAGTTAGTGAATATTTTTTCCCATTCTGTGGGCTGCCTTTTTGTCTTGTTGTCTGTGTCCTTTGCTTAACAGAAGCTTCTCAGTTTCAGGAGGTCCCATGTATTAATTGTTGATCTCACTGTCTGTGCTACTGGTGTTATGGTCAGGATTCAGTCTCCTGTACCAATTCGTTCAAGGGTACCTCCCACTTTCTCTTCTAAGAGGTTCGGTGTGGCTGGATTTATGTCATTTTCAGTAAATTTTAGGAAGTCTTTTATTTCTTTCTTTATTTCTTCCATGGCCCAGTGGTGGTTCAGTTGATCATTGTTCAATTTCCACATGTTTGTGGGCTTTCTGAAATTAATGTTGCTGTTGAATTCTAACTTTAAGCTGTGGTGATCTGATAGGGTACAGGGGTTTATTCCATTTTTTTTTTTTTTGTATCTGTTGAGGTTTGCTTTGTTACCAAGTATGTGGTCAATTTTTGAGAACATTCCATAAGGTGCTGAGAAGAAGGTATATTCTCTTGTGTTTGAGTGGAATGTTCTTTAGATGTCTGTTAAGTCCAGTTGAGTCATAGCCTCTGTTAGTTCCCTTATTTCTCTATTAAGCTTATGTCTGGCAGATCTGTGTTGAAGTCTCCCACTATTAGTGAGTGAGGCTTGATTTATGATTTAAGCTTTAGTAATGTTTCTTTTACAAATCCAGGAGCCCTTATGCTTGGGGTGTAGATGTTCAGAATTGAGATTTTCTCCTGATGGATTTTTCCTGTGATGAATATGAAATGCCCTTCCTTATCTTTTTTGATTGATTTTAGTTTGAAGTCTATTTTGTTAGATATTAGGATAGCTACGATACCTTGTTTCTTAGGTCCATTTGATTGGAACTCTAAGGTAATGTCTGTCTGTGAGGTGTGTTTCTTGTATGCAGCAGAAGGATGGATTCTGTTTTCGTATCCAATCTGTTAGCCTGTGTCTTTTTATAGGTGAATTGAGACCATTTGTATTAGTGGATATTAATGACCAGTGATTGCTAGTTCCTGTTATTTTTGTTTTTGTTGGTGGTGATGGCATTGTGTGTTTGATTCCCTTATTTGGGGTTTGCTGCTGTAAGCTCCTCTATTTCCTGTGTTCTTGTGGACCTAGGTGATTTCCTTGGGTTGGTGTTTTTCTTCTAGTAATTTCTGTAGGGCTGGGTTTGTGGATAGGTATTGTTTAAATTTGGTTTTATCATGGAATATCTTGTTTTCTCCTTCCATGGTTATTGAAAGCTTTGCTGGGTAAAGGAATCTGAGCGGCATCCACGGTCCCTTAGGGTCTGCATAACTTCTGGCTGTCATTGTTTCTGTTGAGAAGTCAGGTATAGATCTGATGGGTCTGCCTTTATGTATTACCTGGCCTTTCTCCTTTGCCGCTCTTAATATTCTTTCTTTATTTTGTATGATATTATTATTATGTGATGAGGGGACTTTTTTTTTTTTTTTTTTTTTTGGTCCAGTCTATTTGGTGTTCTTTTCTTTCTTTTTTTTCCTTTTTTTTTTTTTTGTTTTGTTTTGTTTTGTTTTACGAGACAGGGTTTCTCTGTATTGTTTTGGAGGCTGTCAGTCCAGCCTGGCCTTGAACTCACAGAGATCTGCCTGCCTCTGCCTCCCAAGTGCTGGGATTAAAGGCGTGCGCCACCACCGCCCAGCTATTTGGTGTTCTTTTAAGTCTCTTGTATTTTCACAGGGATGTCTTTCTTTGGGCTGGGGAAGTTTTCTTCTATGATTTTGTTGAATATATTCTCTGTACCTTTGAGTTGGACTTCTTTTCCTTCTATCCCTATTATTCTTAGGTTCGGTCTTTTCATGGTGTCCCAGATTTCCTGCATGTTTTGTGTTAAGGATTTGTTGGATTCAAATTTTTCTTTGACCAATGAATCTATTTCCTCCAAGTTATCTTCAATGCCTGAGAGTCTCTCTTCCATCTCTTGTATTCTGTTGTTTATGCTTGCATTTGTGGTTCCTGATCGTTTACCCAGACTTTCCATTTCCAGAATTCCCTCAGTTTGTGTTTTCTTTATTGCCTCTATTTCAGATTTTGTGTCTTGGAGCATTTCCTTCACTTGGGTGATTGCTTTTTTCTTGGTTTTCTTTAAGGGATTTGTTGATATCTTCCAGTTTTCTGTTTGTCCCTTCCTCTTTAAAGGCCTCAATCATTCTCATAAAAGTTATTTTTTAGGTCATTTTCGGTCTTCTGCTTCATCTGTGTTGGGATGTTCAGGTCTTACTACTATAACGCCAATAGTTTCCATATTGGTGCTACATTGCTCTTTATATTGTTGAGTGTGTTCTTACCTTGTTGTCTGTGCATCTCTTCCTCTATCAGTATAGGTGGAGCTTGTGTTTCAGGGCTTCTCTCTTTCTCCAGTTGGTGTAGTTGGGCGCTGCGGCTCTCTTGACCGCTCCTTCAGGCACGAGTAGAGCAGAGCTTCCGGTGAACGCTCCTCCTGGTGCACGTGGGCCCCATGTGCAGGTGGTCACTCCTTGAGGTGCAGGTGGGGCTGAGCGGATGTAGTTGTGGGGTATCTCCCACCCAGAAATGACAGTGGATGCTGGCTGAGACACAGGTGATCTTACCCAGAGGAACTTTTTGCAATAGTTTCTGGAAACTACTGCTGGAAACCACTTCACCGGATGATCACTCCTCGATCCTGGGGCTGAGGCTGGGGCCTCCCTGTAACACCGCTCCCAGTTCTGAGGCTCATGGCTTCCTTGACACTGCTCCAGGCCTGAAGCTCAGGCCTTTCTCTGATGCTACTTCTGGGCCGGGATTTGGGGCTCTCACTGATGTTGTTCATGGCCTGTAGCTGGAACCTACCTCCAACGCTGCTCCCGGGTTTGATGCTGGGCCCTCCCTCTGCCGCTGCTCCCAGTTCTGAGGCTTAGGGCTCCCTCACTGCTCTGGACCTGAAGTTTAGGCCTTCCTCTGCTGCAGCTTCCAGGCTGGAATGCAGGCTTCTCACTCGCTTTTTGTCTTTTTTCAAAGATGTATTTTATATGTATCAATGTTCTGCCTGTACCACACACACACATCTGTATGGGTGCTGGGAACTGAGCTTGGGCCCCAGGAGAGTTTCCAAACTTAGCATTACTGATTCACAGAGAAGCTTCCGCAAGTGAGGTCACCATGACTTGATTGTCCTGGAGTGCACAAAGAGAAACCTAGGCAGGCCTAGTCACTGCCAGGCCATAGCCTCCACTGGACCAGGGCTCTGACACTTTGACCAGCCATGGATTTTGTACATATGTCAAAGTGACTAAGGCAGATAGCACCTTTCCATTGAGAACCTTCTCCTCTATAACGACAGAAGCGGCACAGGGGAGTCAGGAGGCCTCATGTAAGCAGCTGAGTTTTATCTGCAAGCTTGCCACTTGGCTTACGAGGTGACACCTGTGCAGGGACACACCATCTTCCATGGACAGCTGTCATAGACTTTTTCTGGGTACACCATTTTGAAATGGGTTACTACCAGGATCTGTGGGGCCATTTTCTCTTCTCAAGAGGCTTGTGCTTTCTCACTGATGAGGTCAGGAAGATGGCTTCTTTGCAGCCATGCAAGATGGGTCATTTTCACTGGGATTAATCATGAAAGGAGCCTAGTCTATGTCCAGAAATACTTGCAGCTAAAATTCAGGGTTCATGTAACACACAGACTCTGAAAACCGCTCTGTACATTTCAAGCCAAGATTCTTACTTCTGAGGACCTGTTTTACTTTAAAGCATTAACTTGAGTTGGAAGCCTATACAACATAGACATGTGTAATGACGTAAACAGTTCACAGGAGGTGACATCTACATTGGTGGTAGGGGGCTTCAGCTTACACCCCGCAGTCAGCTAAACATGGTGGGGTGCAGATGCCCCCTATTGATGGTTGAATGGCAGTGGCATAAGGGCGACCAAGATGTGCTGTCTATGGCAAAAAGGAGCAGCTGGGAAGCAGGGAGAAGAACTGGCCCAGATCTGGGCCTCCCCAGAAAAGCCGCAGGGATGGCAGGTGAAGGCCTGTGAAGGAGTGGATGGGAGCAGAGCCAGGATGAGTGTGAGTGTCTGTCAGGGGGAGCTGGGGCCCAGGTCTCTCGCTTGGAGGACAGGTGGACAGGACGCTATGTGGGCTGTACCCTCACTGTGGAGACAGAGGGACCAAGGGCAAGACAGTCAGCACACTGACTGTAGTTGGGCACAACTCCTAGAAGCCAGAGCCACCCAGTGTGGCCGCCAGCCTGCACTCAGGGAGGATGGGATAGGCATGAGCCTGGGGTTACCCCACATCCCTCCTCACAGTAGACACAACAGGCACCTGTGGTAAGTGGGGCCACTAGCAAAATGGCTTATTGGCAAGCACATCACCTCCAGGGCCTGATTAACACTGGGAAGCCTGGCCAAGCCTCTTGTGATGCTGACTGAGTGACTCCTTATGAGCCTCGGTTTCCATGGAGAAGAAGGCAGAGGTCCTGAGTATAGACTCCCAAGCTGGCGTGGTGTCCAGGGCTCTGTGGGAGAAGCCAGTCATGGTGAATCTGGTCAGTGCATAGCCTCGAGGTCTCCCCCTCTCCTGTTACCTATTGCCAGGCAGCTCTAAAATGCCACAGGAATAAAAAGTCTATCACCACCATTTCTGAACATCACTTCCTCCTGCTTTGGTAGGACACCCCTTTGGGTGTCAGTTTGAAGGACGAGGCCCTGTGCGCCCTGCAGGTTGGAGCCTGAGAGTCTGCTGCCAGCTATATCCATGCTCATGCAGCTCACACCCTCTCTTCTGGTCCCTTTGTGCCTCTGTAGACCACTATGCCAGGGATGAAGCGAGACTGCGGGGGTGCCGCAGCCATCTTGGGAGCCTTCAGAGCCGCCATTAAGCAGGTGAGGGCGTGAGTCCTGGTTCTTCCCGCTGGGGCTTTGCTTGACCCTCCTCTCCCTGCAGGACCCCGCTTCCCTGGCCTTGGAGCCTGTCGGGGTTATTGGGTAAGGATAGTAAGAAGGTCTAGCTTAGGGTGCTTGCTGAGGGTTCTCGGAAGGAAGCAGCCATGGTCACACGTGTTTGAAGAAGTCCTTCATCCCTGCTGTTGGTTTGGCATCTGAGATGCGCTGGCAAGACATGCTCATCGGGTCAGTTCTTCTGAGCTCTCCGCCAGCCGGGGCTGCGGTGGTCACTGGTGGCCATGAGGGGTGCTGGACCTACAGGAAGCCACAGCCAGTGACTTAGGGTGCTGAGAAGTGTCCCCCCACATATACGCAAGAGCCCCTGCTGTCCCCTGGTTAACTTCATGTCCCCTTTCACTGACCCCTCCTTGCATCCTATTGAAAAGGAAGGAGCCTCAGTGAGGTCACAGAGTGAGGAGCAATGGCAGTGACTGGGCCCACGGGATACCTGAGTCCCCACAGCCACTGTAGGCTCACCCTGAAGGAATGCAGAGACGGGAGACAGTTCCTTGCCATGGGGGCAGGGATTACTGCTGGCAGGAAGAACTTTGGAACTAAAATCATCTGCCAGTCCCACGGTAGCAATTGTTTGGGGTGAGAATGGTGGTCAGGGGGCTGAGGCAGGAGGATTGCCTCAAATTCAAGGTTTACTATGCTGTGTGGTGAAGTCTGCTGCATGGTCTGAACTCCGGAGCCTTTGCCCCTTCTAGCAGGGATTCCCGAATGGCACCTTCAGACCTGAGCTCCACTTCCTGCTTCTGCGGGCCCAGTCTGTCTGTGTCCTGCTGCCCACAGGTCTGAGAGCACCTGGCTCTCCCTGGTCTTTCGCCCTCCCAGAGCTTCCGGTCTGTAACGGGGCCTCTCCCCTGCTTCTCCTCTCAGGGCTTCAAAGATAACCTCCATGCTGTGTTCTGCTTGGCCGAGAATGCAGTGGGCCCCAATGCCACCAGGCCTGATGACATCCACCTTCTGTACTCAGGAAAGTAAGGCCAGCCCTCTCTTAGCTCTAGAACTCTTGTTTAGACCGTGGGCTCCCTCCCAGAGCCAGGCTAGGTCAGTCTGAGCCTAACCCAGGGTGTGGGAGAATCCTCTCTGCCTCCCACCTGCGATTCTCCTGGGGAGGGCACGTGCCGTGGAGATGGAGGAGCTGGGCTCTCCGGTGACAAAGGGTTACTGAGCACTCTGGCGAGCTGCACCCTGAATCGGGGTCTGTGTCACACCCAGGACTGTAGAGATAAACAACACAGATGCCGAGGGCAGGCTGGTGCTGGCCGATGGGGTGTCCTATGCATGCAAAGACCTGGGAGCGGACATCATCGTGGACGTGGCCACACTGACTGGAGCACAGGTGAGCGTCACACATCGTCCCTTGCAGCCCCCACAGGCCTGAAGCCCTGTGGACAGTGAGAGGAGCCACTGTCATTGGAGGTGAGGGAGCAAACCCTCACGTTGTTGAGCCAGAGCCTGCCCGGCCCCACCCCTTTCTTCCCCGCCCTGCTCCTGCCTCCCCGTTGGTGTCTGACCTCTGCTCTACTTTTGCTTTCTGTGTTGCTCTTCTGTCCTCTCTGGCATGGTTGCTTCCCTTGTGTCCTTTGCCTAGGGCATCGCCACGGGGAAGTACCACGCGGCTGTGCTCACCAACAGTGCCGAGTGGGAGGCGGCCTGCGTGAAGGCTGGCCGGAAGTGCGGGGACCTGGTCCACCCGCTGGTCTACTGCCCTGAGCTACACTTCAGCGAGTTCACCTCGGCTGTGGCGGACATGAAGAACTCAGTGGCGGTAGGTGTTGGGCCTGCCCATGCTGATGTGCAGAGCTGTGCCCCGGGAAGTGTGTGAGCCAGAAGACCAGTGTTCCCAAACACCAGGAGCAGGGACACACTCGCCGATGATGCGCAATGAACAGACTCCACACTGGGGTCTGACTCAGTTGTCCCCACAGGCTCTTTGTGGTCCTCCCTTGTCCTGGGGAGGTAGACGGCTGTTCTAGGTTGGAGCCCTCTTCAGCCATCTAGGTCAGCGGGTACGTCTGTGCCTATGGCTGAGGGATAAGGAAAGGTTAGACGGAGCCATCCAGACTCCTCCCACTCCTGGGAACAGGATGTCACCAAATGTCCTCCTCTTGTCCTCAGGACCGAGACAACAGCCCCAGCTCCTGTGCTGGCCTCTTCATTGCTTCACACATCGGGTTTGACTGGCCCGGTGTCTGGGTTCATCTGGACATCGCGGCCCCTGTGCACACTGTAAGTGGCGCGGATGCTCTGCTTCTCCGGATGCTCTGCTTCTCCGTGCCTCCCTCCCTCCTGTCCCCACAGAGCCCTTCCGGCTCAGAGCTGCTTCTGAGACCATCAGAAAGGCCCTGTGTTGTGTGTCAGATTGTCTGTGGCCCAGCCTCCTACCAGCTGCCGTCTCCCTGACCTCTGTAGCTGCTGTGGGGCGGTCCTCCCAGCCAGCCTGAGGCCCAGACCGTCTCCACGCTGACATGTGGCTATTTTTGCCCTCCACCCAGTTTCCTCTGTTGGCCCTGACCATGTCAGGCCATCTTGAGGAAGGCCCAAGACACAGGCTGGTGTCCTAGGACCTCCACGTGGAGAAGGGGCTTACGGGGGGCCTGAAGAGGCCTTTGTGCAGAGCTGCCCTCTGACCTAGGGGTTCCACCTTCTCTGTCCACAGGGCGAGCGAGCCACGGGCTTTGGTGTGGCTCTCCTGCTGGCACTGTTTGGCCGTGCCTCTGAGGACCCGCTGCTGAACCTGGTGTCGCCACTGGACAGTGAGGTGGATACCCAGGAGGGTGATGATGTGGGGCGTGACTCCAAGAGACGCAGGCTCGTGTGAGCAAGTGCTACTTCCCACCCGGTGACACACGTTCCTTACCTCACTTTGCACTGACTGGTTTAAGCAATTGAAAGATAAGATCTTGGGATGCGTTTGGCTTTTCCTTCTGTAACCTGTGGTGATGGGAGTGGCCATTCTTCTCTTAGAAGACAGCTTAGGGTTTGGTGGGGTCTGGGGAAAATTGTCACAGACCTCCCAGGTCAGCTTCTGCAAACTCACTGTCCCTTGTCCCCCACCTGGTCTTTAGAGCCACCTCAGGTCAGCTCTGTGGTGAGCTCACTTCCTGATCCCCACCCTGTGAAGCAGGAAGAGCTTGACGCCCCTCCAGTTCACTTGAAGTTGAATTAAATATGACCACAACATACCCTTGCCTCTGCTCGTGTTTCTCCCTGCTCCTCGGCCTGATAACCCGCCCAGAGCCTGATGCGCCCTCAGACTCTCTCATTTGGTCTTGAGATGGCTAGTTAAACTGGTTTTGCAGCCCAGAGCCCAGGAGTCTGGGCCAGAGGACAGCAGCCCTCAGGCCTAGGCCTGTTGGCCAGCTGCTTTGGTTTCCAAGTGTCTCCACACACTGGGGATTGGCTTCTGAGAGACTCTGCTCACATTGAGGTGGCCATGGCCTCTGAACCTCCTGACCCTGAATCTCCCCAGTTCCCACAGAGAAGCCCTAGGCCACAGAGGACCTGGTTTGGAAACTACATGTGATTCCCAGGAGTCCAGCCAGGGTTTAGAGTCTGTACAGGGGAGGCAGGCCTTGTAGTATCTGGGGATAGGTTTTCCCCAGTTTAGATGAAAACCACCTGCTTCTTTTGTCTTCCCACACAGCCCATCCCAGTGTGGCTACCTAAGAGGCAATCAGGGCCAGGCCCTGGTGAGTAGGGATAGGACTTCCTACACCTTCTCTAAGGGATGATGAGGCAAGGACCTGGCTGTAGGTTTGCAGAATACATGCACTGGAATGCCCTAAGTCCACCAACAACTCCAGCCTAAACGCCCTAAGAGTCCAGGTCTCTCCTGCCTTGAAAGAAGGTGTCTGCTTCTGGGTCTGGTGCCATACAAATGTTTATTAACTACCTGTTGTGTGTATAGCCGCAGGAGGACCTGAAAAGTCAAAAGCAAGCGCACAGGTCCCAGAACTATATGAGAAACCTTGCTTGACTAAGGATAGTCATTGTGGGCAGTGGTCAAGTGAGTGAGAAGCTGTGGGCTTCTGCCCAGGGAGAGGCGTGGCCAGGCTGGAGGGCAGGATCCTCCATGGCTCATTAGTTCTCTTCATTGCTTGCATTAGGCAACTCTTGCCAGCTTACCCCAGACACAGACACTCCAGGGGTCACCGAGGTGGTCTGGCTCCTTCTCTGGGACAGCTGGCACATCCCTCCCCCTTCCCCATGCCAGGGAGCTGTGCCCATGTGGACACAGGAAGCAGGGTCACAGGGCAGCAGGGGAACTGAGTCTCCCTTGTGTGGGCACAAAGGCGGCCACGGGGCTGGGGACCCAGCTGGGGACCAGCTGCAGGCACAGGGCCTGGACAGCGTGCCCGATGTTAGGGTTTCCGGGGATGAGCCAAAGGCTCCGCTTTCCCCAAGGCCAAAAGGCTTAAGGGCACAACTGCTTCCCCCAGCTCTGCCGGAAGCCCAGGAGTCACAGGATGCCTCACAAGACAGACAGATGGACACCCTGCAGTCATATCAGGCTTTGAAGAGCCACACAGAAGAAAAATGGCTTTCCAGTGTGCAGGGCTAGCTGGACCATCACCACCATCCTGGGGATGACGGTTGCTTTTAATTGCCAACTTGATGAACGTAGAATCACCTGGAAGAGTCTCCATGAGGGAGTGTCTGCACTGAACTGACCTGTGGGGGTGCCTCAGGGAATTGTCTTAGTAAGTTAAATGCTGTGGGAAGACAGCTTACCCTTGGTGGCACCGCTTCCTAGTCAGGGTATTCTGTGGTAAAGTGGAGTGGTGGACCTCTGAGGACCACTGAAGAAGTGTCCCGAGTGAGCTAGGCTGTGGTTACCACCCTCATCACCACAGAAGAGTCCTGCCACACTCAAGGAACCTTCAGCCTCCATGCTGGGAGCTGGCCAGCTCTCCTGGACTTGGAGAGCACAGAAGAAAGATTTTCCTCTCTGCATTAACTTAGGGAGCCTTAGACAGAGCCATTACCAGGAGCCTGTGTGTTTCCAGTGCTTAGAGAACATGGAGACACATACCTCAGGCCTTGTAGGGAGCAGTGTCAGCAGCCTGAAGGTATTTAGAAGCATGGTGGTGGGGGCTGGGAATCATGGTTTTTGTGGGTAGGGGTGCCTCATCCAAGCCCCCAGTCACCTGGTGTCTGGACTGTCCTCAGAGCCACGGGCCTAAGCACCTTATCTGGACCATTGACTTGCAGGGGACAGCCAGCCAGTGTCCAGGTGTAGCCTGGGGGAGTGGGCTGTATGAAAAGGGTGTAGTCAACAGCCGTGAAAGTGCTGCCTCTCAGGGTTTAGAACCACAACGAGCCGCTCCCCCAAAATCAGTTCTCTGTCCCTGCCAGCAAAGGGGTGCTAATCAGCTTTCTATCACTGGGACAAGATACCCGGGTAAATCACCAGAGAAGGGGAGACGTTCACTTTGGTTCACTGTTGCGGAGGGCTCCATCCACAGTGTGTCTCACCGCACTGATTTGCAGCAGATACAAGGCAGCTGCGGAGCCTGCCCACCTCACGGCTGCCGGGAAGCAGACAGATAAAGACAGCAGACAGAGGGACCTCCCCGTCGCAGCGGTGTGTGTCTCTCACCCCAGCTCTGGGGGCTGCAGGTGTGAAGACCCCTGCAGCTCACTGCTCAGCCTGCCTAGCAAATCAGTGGGAGGCAAATTAAGGTCTTAACAAATTAGACGAGCAACTGAGGAAGGGCCAGCCTCCCGCTTCTGCACGCAAACACACACAAGCACACACGTCTCCTCATCCCTCCTCCATGCACATGGTGCACACACATGAATACACACACAAGTGGACACACACACATACACACAAGTGCACACATCTCATCCCTCCTCCATGCACATGGTGCACACACGTGAATACACACACACACACATGCACACACACACATTTTTTTTTAAAGAAGGGAACCAACTGGAAGTTATTCCTACAGGGGACATTGAGGGCCAGAGGCCCAGTGGATAATTAGCAGACACCCCAACCTCCCACTGCCGATTGCATCACAGTGTGATTGCATCAGAGGCTACGAACACCAGACACCTGTCCCTAAACCCTTCCTCCTAAGCCCTTCTCAAGAGGACATCCTGTTCAGCACATCCCTCATTCCCCACCCCATCCTGCCCGCCCTCCCTGCTCAGCGCTGCACACCTCTCCCAGCCCCTCCTGCCAGCGTCTGGGCTGGAGGGCTTCCGGGAAAGGTTGTGCCCTGCCGGCAAGGACATGCTGCTGTGCCCCCAAAAGCTTTCCCTGGGGAGCTGGCCTATGATCCCAGCAGGCCCCTCCTGCCCAGTGAATGCCTGTTGAGTTTTCTGCTGTGATTTTCTGCCTGGAGCCTCCAGTTCAGGCTGTGTTCCCTGGTGAATTAGTGTTCAGCGTTTTTGTTTATTTGTTTGTTCTTTAACAAAAGGTTGTTTTGGTTCGAGATTCAGCAAAAAACCACACACTGCATTCAGCTTCCTCTCCATTCAGGACTCGGTAAATTGGTTGTTTTCCAGTCTGTTCTGAGTCCTTGCCTCAGATGAGCCTCCAACAAGATAATGCATTTAAAAGCCCTTGGAAAAGTACCAGCCCCACGCACATGTGGGTACCGTTAGCCTTTGAGCTGGCAGAAGACAAGCCCTGCAGCTGGCTCATTCCATCCCCGCCCCCACACTGGGCCTAGACAGGTCCTGCTGCAAAGCTCCAAGATGGGGCTCAGACAGGGAGGGGAGGAGGCTGCCTCCAGGTTGGTCCCCACAGCCCAGAACTGTCTCCACCCCCAGGAGGCTTGGGGTTTGTGGTCCAGCCAAGGCTAGGGATATGGGAGGGGCAGACAGATGCAAACCAACACTCCTTAGAGGAGATGACCTGTCCATACCAGTGTCTGATCCGAAGGCCGTTTTGACTTCCTTTTGGCCCTGCTATGGTCCCGAGGGTTTGGAGATCAATCCAGGGAGGGTGTTGTAGGGAGGAAAACAAAACCAACCATCCTAGCTTAAAAGGCTCAGAAGCCTGCTTCTTATTCCCAATCTGCAGTCAGAACAAAAGGCGCCTCCAGCCAGAAGTCTCTGTTCTTGTTGACTGGTCCTGCCTTGCTCTGGGGGAATGGAGGTGTGGGGGGGCTTCATTCCACCCCACGAACCTTTCCTTGTTTGTCATGCCTCTTTTCTTGTCATGATCTGATGAATCTCTATGAGATTCATACCCATGTCTAGCCCAGTATACCACTCAGTATACCAATGGCCTGGAACTGGCTTCCTCATTCACCACATTTATTAGGCACCTCCTGTAAGCATGTGAACACCCTGAACCACTAATCTCTCTCTTGGGGGTGTCTTCCCATCCCGAGCCTTAGAAACCCGTCGTCAAAAGAAGCTGAAACTGTCTTGCTGGAGGTTGAAGAAAGTTGTGTGTGGTAGTCAGAGGGCTGCCTGGTTAAAATGAAGATCCTAAGGCTGCTTACCTCACAGACTGGCAAGATTCCAACCACAGGGTGCCGTGAGCTGTCACAAGAATGGCTAATATGTCACCAGCAGTTTTCTGCTTGCTAGACAGCCAGGCCCTTGTCTAAACGCTATGATCTTGTCCTGTTCAGCATCTACAGAGCACCAAGGTCACAGAGATTGTTAGTACCTTTATGCAGAGTGAGGGGCATCAGCCCAGCACAGTCCATGCATGCAGAATCCGCTTTCCTCTCACACTCTCTGCCGTTTGTCCCATCCCATACAGGGTCAGGCCCCAACAACGGAACATGACAGTTGAGTCCAGTGGACCAGACGGTGTGTGGCCAGCGATGGCACTTCCCAAGACACTCACCGGAGAGCAAATACCCAGGACGCTGTATGTGCGGCCCTGGGCTCTGAGCCTCAGCTTCTGCATCTGTAAAGTACATAAACCCTTCAAAAGCTTCACAGCCTTGTTTGGTAGTGAGGTGGCAACAACCACAAAAAGAAAAAGGAAAAGGAAAAGAGGATCAGACTTGGTGAAAAGGGACCATGATGGCTGGGGCTACGGCTCAAACAGGAAAGGGCTTGACACAAGCATGAAAACCAGGGTTCACCGTCAGCCCCCACAAACACCGTCAGTACTGTGAGCTTGAGACGAGAACCCCTGGAGCTGCTCAACCTGTGGGCTCTGGGTTCAGAGGAGACCCTGTCTCCTCCAGAAAGCATATGGAGA